CTCCCCTCCCCTCCTCTCCTTTCCTTTCCTTTCCACTGGTCTTCATTGCCAGAGCTTTTTATCTTTTATTCTGAGACAGGGTCTCACTATGGTTCTAAATTGCCCAGGCTGAGCTCAAACTGGTGGTGCTCCTGCCGCAGCCCCTCAAAGTGCCGGAATTACAGGCTAGCGCTACCATTCCCAGCTACTGTGAAAAATTTATTGGAAAGGTTACTTGTAGAAATCAGTTGCTGGTTATGGAGGCTGAAGCAGGAGGATTGCCAGTTTTGAGGCTAGCTTGGGCTACATAATGTAATCCTGTCTGAAAGAGAGAGAGACATAGACAGAGACAGAGACAGGGACAGGGACATCAGGCCCTACATGATACTATCTTCAGACAGGCTTTTGCTGGCTCCTGGAGGACAGCACCAATCTAGGGCTGAGACAGTTTCCCCTCGGGCCTTCAGTCCCAGGTCACGAGGCCAGGCCACCAGGCTGCTTGAGGGCAGCTCCTTTGCAGGCCTCTGAGGTCCCAGCCTCAGCATCAGGCCACCATGCTGGGCCCTTGCTCGGGGCTGGCACAAGTCTAGCTCAAGTTCACAGTTACTTCATCCAAACCCACAAACGCTCTTGGGACAGAGTAAACTTTTTAAGGACTCACATGTCTGTCATTTACTTAATTTTATTTGATTTCTTGGTACTTGGAATCGAACTCAGGACCTTGCATCTGCTAGGCAGATGATGTGTAGCTCTATCCCTGGCTGTTTACTCCATTTTATTTTTCCTTTTTTTTTTTTTTTTTTTTTTTTTTGCGGAACCGGGGATTGAACTCAGGCCCTTGCACTTGCCAGGCAAGCGCTTAATCCACTGAGCTATCTCCCCAGCCCTGTTTACTCCATTTTAAAACTTAAATTAATTTTTTTTCAATGTCCCCGGTGGGAAGACCAAGGTCTCATTATGTAGTATAGGCTGGTCTTGAACTCACTTGTAGCCCAGGCTGGCCTAGACTTGTGGAGACCCTCCTGTGTCAGCCTCCCAAGTTACTGGGATGACAGGCATGTGCCATCATGCCTTGCTTAACTCATCTTCTATTCCTGGGAGAAATCTCCATGTGTTATCTCGATAGGTACTCATAGGGGCACTGTGGGAGGGGCCCTGTGTTCCCACTTTCCAGGTGAGCAAACTGAGGCTCAATGACTAAGTCACCAAAGTCACGTGGCAGGTCTGCCTGACTTCAGGCTCCCATCCCTTTCCCCGCTCACGTGTCATCTTTGGTACCAGAGCCCGGGGGAGGGAGGGTTGTTCAGGGAACCCCAGGCTCTGTGCTCAGGCAGCCCTGAGGCACACGGCCATAGCCTGTCACCCAAAGCACCCACGTCCCTCCCACCTCCACCTGCTCCCTGCCCCCGCTGTGTGCACCCCGCCCTGCCCCTCTCCACGCTCATCTGTGCCCTTCTGGGGCTTGCAGCATGAAGGGGAAGAGTGCCAAGCTGCGCAATGCCACCCGGGTGGAGCTGTGGCAGCACTTCCAGCGACCCCTCCACGATGTGCAGCTGTGGCGGGCCCTGGCCCAGCGGCTCCTGGATGTCACCGACAGCCTGCCAGACCTGCCCTCCGTCCACACCTTCCTGCCCCAGATCAAGGTAAGCCCGCCTCAGCCAGGGTGGCAGCCTCGGGGGCTGAGGTGGCTCCCTGCTGACGTGTGGTATCAGGCTCCCTCCTGGGGACACCTGTGTGCCTGGGCCCTCTGATATCTGGGCTGACCTCACTGCTCCTGGGGACACAGTGCACAGTAAGTGACATTACTTGCTGTCAGTGACAAAGGCCATCCTTAGCGTATGGGTAGCAGGTGAAGCATGGTATGACCCCAGACTCCTCGTGGACCTGCTCCCAACTGGAGGTGTCCAGGGACCCCACTTTGGGACCCAGTATCGGCCATCCTCTGGGGCAGCGTTAGCAGTTCTGTTTCAGACCATCCCTCCTCTTGTGGCTACAAGCGACAAAAATCCTGACAGTGATAGCTTAAAGCAGAGTTCTTCGGGCTGACTTACCACCAGACAGTGTCACCATAGCCAGGGTCTTTCTAGGGCAAAGCCATGTCTCTCTTTCCAGCCCCAGGTGGCTGCTGTTACTCCACACAGGCATCTTTCCATAAGCAACAGCATCTCTTATATGGGGACAAAAGGGTTCCTGCCATGGCCATGCCCACTGTCACAGAGCCTTCCCAGAAACCCTGGCACACACCTTTCACATTTCATTGGTTGCACAAGGTCACATGACCATCCCTGGCCGAGGATGATGGGATTGCTATGAACAGCTGATACTAATGATGTACCTGGATCCCTGCCTGGGTACCTTGCTTCCAAAGCAAGATGCTGCCTGTTCGGTGAGAAAGCCAGAAGAATAGCGGGGAGACGAGCAGCCAGTGGTTTCTGCCTCAGTGCCTGGCCACTTGGAGGCCCAATTTGTCCATCCTCCATGTTTTATTATCACTGAGCTCTGAAATTCATCCAATACTTTTGTATCCAGAGATTCCTAGAGGGAGAAGGGACACAAAATGTGCCCAGTATTAGCATTGATTTTCTTTTTTATTTTATTTTTTTTCTTCTTTCTTTTTTATAGTACCAGGGATCAAACTCAGGACCTTGCGCTTGGCCAGGCAGGTGCTTATGCCACTGAGTTATATCCCCAGCCCCCTTCACACTGATTTTCATCGTCCTTATAAAAGGCGTCCATATCCATCCTCGGGGGACATAAATGTTTCTGAAGAAGAAAACAGCCCCACAATCCCACCAGCCACAGGCCACTGTTGACATGTTGAGACCTTTTTGTCCAGCTTGGTATTGCTGGAGAATCATTAACCGGGGCTGGCACCCACTCATTTTTGAGGAAACTACTCAGCCATATTCAAAGCCAATTTTACAGCATTTAACCTTGTGATTTTCCATTTGGGGCTCATGGTAGAAGGAGAATTTGTTTTCTCTCTCATGTTTTGTTTTGTTTGAGACAAGGTATGCTATGAGATTCAGCCTGGCTTTGAACTCACTAGGTAGCCAAGCCTGACCTGGGACTTGTGGCAGACTTGCTGCCTCAGCCTCGGAGGGCTGGGTTACAGGTGTGGGCTGTCACACCCGGCTCTCTGCATTGTTTTATGTCACAGAACGTGGCCCTTCTCCCGAGAGTCCAGCGGGCCCCCTTCCCCCTCCCCAGGTTCCAAGGTTGACGGTGATCTTAGGGTACTCCTCAAGACTCCCCACGGTGAACCTCATGTGTGCCACAGACGTCAACTTTGGGTCAGAACATCCCCAATCTAGATGATAAAGTCCATCTAGATGTTTCCATGAGGCTTGGTCACTCGGGGACAGGAGATTTGATTAATTAGAACTTCCCTGTGTTTAGAGTCATGTCACGGAGTCTCATCTGATATTTTTCCTCCACACCTTAGGCCTTTTCTCAGGTACCACTTAGAAATCACTCACAGGAAAGCTAGTCTTTTTAGCAGCTATGCAGTTTTCCATCCTGTAGTAGGTGTCATTTAGTGCATCCGCAAATGGAGCTTTCCATTCTTTCCAGGTCTTCAGTGTCCTAACTGAGATGGGCTGGACAGCTCTGCTTACAGGTTTCGGCTTCCCTGCCTGCCATGATTCTCTTTTCACAGGAGGAATGGATTGCAGGGAAGTGAGGCTGCTTGTTCAAGGTCATTTCGCTTGGAGAGGTCGAGCTGGGGCCAAAGTGTGGGCGGCAGATTCCTGGCTAACGCTCTCACCCCTGCTTGCACCAGGGTTCTAGAGACAGCTGAGCGAGGCAGAAGCCAGGGGTGTATCTCGGTCCCTGGGTCCTGGAGGGGGACGTGTCCTGCCTCATGGGGCAGGGCCAGGCCTTGACTCAGCCCCACCTGACCTCCCCTTGAGGACTTTCCCTGCTCTGTCACCAAGGTTTTGTCATCTCCTTCTGGCCAGGGGATTGGAAACAAAAACCAGGACCTCTGCAAGGCCAGAGGGGAAAGTCCTGTCTTTCTGGAGGTGGCCTGGGGGCCTCCACCGCTGCAGGTGGGGCGGGACTGGCTGCAGCTATCAGCAAGTGTGCCTTGCACTGCCCTTGCTGTCTGCCGGCGGTGGATTCCATAGGCCAGGGCTCAAATTGCCAGCTCTTTGAGGATTGAACTCAGAGCCCTTGCCCTCAACTGTATCCCCAACCCTTTTTGAATTTTGGAGCTCACTAAGTTGCTGAGGAGTCCAGGCTAACCTTCCACTCCCAAGCCTCCTGCCTCAGCCTCCCAGAGTGCTGGGTATGGTGTGTACCACCATGGCCGCCCTTCTAACTTTCCTTGGTTTGGCTCCTGCGTTCAGCCTCAGCATGTTCTGTGGATCTGCCAGGCTCCTCGGGAACTAAGGCACTGAGCCCTAAAAGATGGGCTTTGCTGCCTTAACAAAACACCAAACCTGGCTAGCTTCAAGCAGCAGAAGTCTCATGGCTGGAGCCCAGCAGTCCAAGACCGCGTTGTCTGGTACTGCGTTCCCTCCCCGCCTCTCGCAGTTCCTGGGGGGTTCCAGCCTTTGGGCCACCCTTGGTGACAGAGTTGTCCCCCCCCCCCGCTCCCCCTCCAAATCCTGTGGCTGCCTCTCCCCTGTGTCCTGGCATCTTTCTCTTTTGGAAAATGTCTGTGGTTAGAGCTTCCCTTAGGCAAGCACACTGGTCAAGCTGGCTGAGGACCCCTCTGGGGGCCTTATTTTAGTACAAATCTGCACAGAGCTTGTCCTCGGAGAGCACATCCCAAGGTACTGGTGGAGTTACACCATCGCTGTATGTTTTTGGGGAGACTCTGTCCAGCCCTTTGTAGCTGGGAAGTTGTCTCTCCTGTGTGCTCGCTGGATGTCAGGCACTGTGGTCTCACTTAAACCCTGTAACAATCCCACAAACTGTGCCTGTGTCGCAAAAGAGGAAACCGAGGCTCCCAGCTGCCCCAGGCCTCCCAGCTAACCTATCCAGATGCACGATGGTGACTCGCTGGCCCAAGTTCTTACTTCCTGTGAGCCAGCATCTGTTCCTGGGCAAGGGGGCAGCTTGTCACACCCAGATGTCCTCACTGTCAAGCCCCAGTGCAACCAAATCAGCTGTGAGCACAATGAGATCCTTCTAGAATTTTCCCCGGCCTTGGAGGTAGCTGTCGGCTGCCTCCCTCCTCCAGGGAGCCCTCTCTGATTTCCTCGGGCTTTGCTATGAACCCAGCAGTGCTCAGGGTTTGCTTAGGAACAAGGCACTTTCCACAGAGATTGCAGCTACCCACCTGCCTGGCCTCAGGTCTCTGTCCTGCTCCCAGCCCTGTACTCTGCTCAGGATCTTAAGTCAGGCCAGAGACAGCTGTCAGACCCTCAGTTACAGAAGCACAAAGCTCTCACCAAGAGCCACCAGAGAGGCAGCCCAGCTCTGGCGCTGGAGGGGATGAGAGGCTTTGGGGTGTGAGGATGAGCTGGGTTGGCATGTGGTCCAGACCGGTTTTCTGGAGGCTGTGGGCCTGGACTATGCAGGCTTGGCTGCGTGGAGGCTACCTGAGGTGGCCCATAGGGGAGTCCCCTGGGATCATGCTCCTCAGACCTGTACCGCCCTGGGGGTGGGGAAAAAGGTGATGGGGTGGGGCAGGCCCTGCAGTCCAGCCAGCTGGGATTTCCACTTGGGTTTGCAGCCACCCCACACACATCATGGAGTGGCGGCTCCCCGCCCCCCAGTGGTCCCGAATCCCTCCGGCCCTACTCCATGGTTCACCCAGGCCCTATCACTCGCAGGCGGCCCTCGCGGAAAGCTCCCGCCTGCAGGAGCAGCTGGCGGCGCTGCGGCTGAAGCCAGATCTGCTGAGCGGCATCTTCGGCCCCGAGAGAGCCGCGGGCCTCCTGGAGCGGGTGGCCGGCTGCGCGCAGGACAGAGATGCGCTGCACAGCGGCCTCCTGCGGAGGAAGGGCAAGCTGCAGGTGAGGGGGCGGGTGGGCGGCCGGGCCCTGGGGGCTTAGGGGAGGCTTTTCCCACCCCAAGTCTGCGGCTGAGGTCGGTGAGCTGTGGTCAGGGATGGGGAGAATGAAAAGGCGCCCCGTGTCCCAATAAAACTTTGTTTACACAAACAGGCCTCTGGCAGGATGCAGCGGCTTGGCCAGCCCGGTTCTACAGTTTAGCACACTTGGCCCATGGGCTTCCTCGGGGAGGTGGCACTAGAGTAGAGCTGGCCAGGAGAATGCAGCCTGCGGCGGAGCACCAGCTCCTAGGGGCGCCTAGGAGGAAGCCCGTAAGCTCCAGCGGCCTGTTCTCTCGCTGCAGAGTTTGCTTGCTCAGCACAAGGACTTTGGGGCTGCCTTCGTGCCCCTGCAGAGGAAGCTGCTGGACCTGCAGGCCAAGCTCCAAGCTGAGAAAGGGCTTCAGCGGGACCTGCCAGGCAAGCAGGCCCAGCTCCAGCGGTTGCAGGTAAGGGGTGGGGCGGTGGGGGGACCTGGTGTATCCAGAAGCAGCGCCCTCCTGTGGCCAGCAGAAGCAGACTCTCCTCTCAGGGGACTAAATCTATCGGAGGGTCCTGGCTTCAGCAAGGCCTTTAGTGCTTCTCACCTGCTGATTCTTTTTTATTATTGCTACAATTACTGGCACATATTAATGGTAAGAATTACTGAACCGAACTACTGAGGCTTAGCCCTAGCAAAATACTGAGAACCGTTTCCTTTGCCCCTTAGTTTCTAAGTGTAACGGTATTTATTTAAAAAAGTACTGAGTCCACAGGCCTTTGAATAAGCCACTTTTTAAAGTCTTTTTTTATTTATTTGGTGCAGGGTCTCGCTACACAGCTCGAACTCATAATGATCCTCCTGTGTCAGCCCCCCCAGCTGTGCACCGCCACGCTCGGTTTCAGTGGCTGGCACACCTACTGGCCCACACGGCATGTGGTACTGGGGATTGAACTAGTGTCCTTGCGCTTGGCCGCCAGGCACTTAAACCACCAACCTATCTCCCCATCCCGGAGTAAGCCACTTTTAAAAGTGAGAATATGTTTCAGTCACCTGTAGCTCAGCCTGACCTTGACCTCACTATACAGCCCCGGACTGGGCTTTTAACTTGTGGCGAGCCCCCTGCCTCAGCCTCGCGAATGCAGGCATTACAGACCCACACCACCACCTTCCAGCCTTTGCGGCTTTTTTTTTTTTTTTGCGGAACGGGGGATTGAACTCAGGCCCTTGCGCTTGCCAGGGAAGCGCTTATTCCACTGAGCCATCTCCCCGGCCCCCACCTTTGCGGCTTTTTAAGGTGCATGTGATACTGTGATTATCTTTCTAAAACCCAAGCACAGACCCACATATAAATTGAGAGTGTGCTCTGGGAGACAGGGATACACTGTACATGGGGCTTTAAAGCTGAAACCAGGACAAGATTCTTCCTAGCCAGAGGGGGGCTCCGCGTGGAAGTCCAGATGTGCATTTGTCCCCAGAGATGCCATCTGGTCGTGCACAGACCTGATTTTCATTTCTAGAATATTTTTGCCTGATTTTAAAATTTCATCAGTGCTCCGAATGGGCTTCTCAGACCAGTCACGTGGTTGGGCCGCGGAAGTGGGGGAGTGCGAGGAACCCTGACCCTGTACACAGAGCCCTACCCCGTCCACTGCACAGCAGGTGACGACGTTGTTCCTCTCTGCACCGCAGGGCCTGCAGGAAGAGGGGCTGGAGCTGGAGGCGCAGGTAGAGGCCGTGAGGTGTCTTGTCCGGGAGGATTCCAGCCACCAGCACAAAATGGACCAGCTTTCCTCTGACTACCAGGCCCTGCGCAGGTCCCTGGAGGTAAGATCCGGATGAAGTACCAGTCCCTGGAATCCTTCCTATGTGCCCAGGGCTTTCTCCTTCTCCTTCCTTCATACCTTTTTTTTTCCCCGGGGGGGGGGGGGGGAGGGAGGAAGGGGATGCCAAGAGAGGATCTCAATATGTAGCCCAGGCTGGCTTGGAATTCATAGTGATCCTCCTGTCTCAGCCTCCCAAGTGCCAGGACTAAGGTTGGCCACCGCAGCACTCAGATCCTTCGTTCTTTCTGACCCCTTTATTTCTCTCCCTCCCTTCTTTCCTTCCACCTCTCTTCATTTATGTAACAGGCGAGGATTATTAAGCGCCTCCTGCATGTAGGGTGCTGTTCTAGGCGCTGAGGGCGGAGGCAGCATGAATGCCAGAGCACTGTCAGAGAGCGCAGCACGCTCAGTGGTGATGCGGCCCCAGGCTGAGCGGGGAGCAGGCCCCTAAGCTGTGGTTTCAGCGCTTGCTCCCTGCCCTTGGCAACCACAAAGCCTCGTCGGCAGCGCCCTCTAGTGGCCGCCCGAGCACTTTCTTGGGTTTATGCAGGATTGATTGCGCTCTCTTGGGGTAGAACCCCAGGCTCCTCGAAATTGACTGGAGAGGTGGTTGCAACCGAGACTCCAGGCCTCAGGCGGAGACTGGAGGGGATAGAGGTCTGGGTCGGCCTTCTGGGCTGCAGCTGTCACGCCTCAGGAACATCCCCTGCAGTGCTCGCCACCTTCACCCTGCTCTTTACAGGCTTGAACCCATGGACCATATAATTCAACTTCACAGACAGCTCAATGCTCAGGAGAGAAAAGGGAGCTTTGTACAAGTAAATGTGACCAATGTCCTTCGGTGTGGAGGTGCTGAGGCATCAGGAAGGGGTCAGAAGGTGCCCCTGCACTGGGAAGGCTGAGGCAGGAGGATCATGAGGTCGAGGCCAACCTGGGATGCATAATGAGCTCAAGCCCAACCTGAACTGCACAGTGAGACCCTGGCCCAAAGAAAAAGGCGCCTCCTGGGGCCTCCCCTGGGGAAAGGGAGTAATGACAGAAAAAAGCACCTCCTGCTTGTCACCACCCAAATGCCACGTCCTGTGGCACTGCCAGCTGGGCTGCAGGCTGCAGAAGTGTGTAAAACTGTGACCGAGCCAAAGCAGCCCTGCCGCGGGCTCTGCGGGCGGCCCCCTCCTGGGGAGGCAGCGCTTCTGTGGAGCTCAGCACTGGGGCAGCAGGAGCAGGTGTGTGAGCCCCGTGGACGTCTGTGGGCCGTGGGGCAGCGCTGAACCGTCTGACCGCCCTCCCTCAGTGTGGTATCCCCACCCCTCTAATGGCAGCTGTACTGTCCCCCATGGTCTCCAGAAACACAGGGAGCCCCTTGGCCTCAGGGATGCCCGGGGCCTGGTCAGAGCCACCGATTCTGCTGAACCCATGAGCATCTGCTGGCCTGGGGTTCGGGGTGGGGGTAGAAAGGTAGCTAGCAGCCCCGGCCCCAGGAGCCTGAGAAGCCGCAAGCGGCTCCCAGTGTCAAGCAGGGGGCTCCTGTAACAAACAAGGGGCGCTTCATCGGCCTTGCAGTGGTGCCATTCCAGTTCCAATGTCTACTTTATTTAGGGTTTTCATCCTTCTTTAAAGAAAGATATGTCCATTATTATTATTTATTTATTTTTGTCTTTTTGAGACGATCCCGCTATGCAGTTCAGGCTGGCCTTGAGCTCACCATGTAGTCCAGACTGGTCTGGAACTCGCAACAATCCTCCTGCCTCAGCCTCCCAAGTGCTGGGATCACAGGCATGCACCACCACGCCTGGCCCCTTATTATTTTGATACTTGGCTGTTGTTGAAGTGAGTGTCAGTGGCCCTGTCTCCCCGGCCACATCCCAGCCTCACAGCACAGCTGTGCAGCAGAAAGCACAGCCAGCCTAGGACCGATGTTGGTCCGAGGGCCGGGAAGGACCAGCCCAGTGGCACCAGTGGAGTGGGTCCAAGGACCGTTTGGTAGCTGGCTGAGGACACGTGCAGAACTCTCTGCAGCCTAGGGGTGCCAAGTCTCCTTGTCCTGTCTGGTGTTCTTGACTCCTCAGTACCTTCAGGATGCAGGAGAGCAGGGCCTTTGGTGGTCAGCACAGTGCCACGAGGCCCTGGGCTGGGGAACGGGAATAGCAGTCCCTGGGCCAGAGGCTCCCAGGCTCCCAGGCAGGGTGACCAGGAGGATGAAGTGAGGCCACCCTTCTGGGTACACTGCCTGCCTTCCCTGGAGGCAGAAGAACAGGGCCCAGGCCAAGGAGCCAACAGCAGGCAGGGCCCAGGAGGCAGACAGCAGGCAGGGTGCAAGGAAGAGGGCTGGCTCGAGAACGTCCTAGAGAAGGGTGTTCCTGGGGAGGGGCCATCTGAGTGTGCCACATGGCAGAATCTAAGAATTTAACAGATCCGTGTTTCCAGCACCCTGAGACAGTGCAGTCATCTAGCCTCCCCCACCCCTTGTCCCCACTCCCGCCCCCTCTAAGAGGACAGGGTGTTTTCTTTAGGGTGAGGTTTCCAGCCCTAACCCTGATGGTCAGCAGTTTGTCCGCCTTGCTGCATGTGGCGCCAACTGCACCTTGGAGCGCCCCACCCAGTCTTGTGTCACCAGACACCTGGCAACAGTACACAGGCATCTTTGGGTACAGGCGAGGGGCTCAGGCCAGCAGGCTGTGGCCGGGTCAGAGGTACACCTGGGCTGGGTGTGCCAGATGCCGCCTACGGTCTGCCCATGTGCTTGTGTAGTTCACACCAAGTGTGGCCAAGAGCCATAACCATCCACCCTCGTCTGACCTTGGTGGTTTGGTGTGCTGTGCCAGAGGTGGCCTTCCTGGGTGATGCCTTTAAGCTGGGACCCAGCCTGTGGCCTGGTGCTGGGTGGGGGCCAGGGTCCAGGTGGGCTGGGCATCCTGCAGGGCTGGGGTGATGCCTGGGGTCTCTGCCCAGGCCACAGCTCAGAGCCTTGGCCTTGGGGTGGCCGCAGGACCTCGTGGACAGGTGTCAGCAGAGTGTGCGGGAGCACTGCGCCTTCAGCCACCAGCTCCTGGAGCTGCAGCAGTGGGTCACCACGGTCACACGGACGCTGGAGTTGCACCGAGGGGAAGAGGGCCCGTGGAATGCCGAGGCCCGAGAGGCTGGCATAGAGGTGAGGTGGTGATTTCCTGTCCTGCCCCCTGCCCCAGCAGCTTCATTGGCCGAGGCTCCCACAGGGGGACGTGCATGCCCCATGCCTGAGGCCTCACTGTGTGTCGGCATCTCTGTCCTCAGTCACTGCTGGCTGAGCTCCCGGAGAAGGAGGCCGGTATGGCCCTGGTAGAGGCGCACGGCCGGCTGGTGATGGAGAAGTCTTCTCCAGAGGGCGCGGCCGAGGTCCAGGAGGAGCTGAGGGAGCTTGCCGAGTCCTGGCAGACCCTGCGGCTGTTGGAAGAGGAGGTGCTGAGGTAAGCCTGTGCCCAGGGCCTGCGGGGTCCTGGGGCTGATGGCTGGGCCAGGGTGGGGCCTGGCGCCTGGGTGTCTGTATGCTTGGGACCAGCTGGTCATTCTGCTGGGGTAGGAGGAGCCGGGAAGGGTCCTAGATGGGCAGTTGGCTGCCAACCATCCCAGCTCAAGCCTCAGTGTCTTCGTCATGTGGGGGCCATGTGGATTTAATGGAATAAACCAGACCTGGGTGTGGCTTGGAGCCTTCAGGCCAGCCTGAAGGGTCGCTACTGACTGGCTGTTAACAGTGAGACTGAAAGATCTCCCACCACCTTGCAGTCCCAATACTGTCACTGCTCTTGTGACTATGTGGTCCCCGTCAGGTCCTTGTCTCGAGTTGGGCACACTTTGTCTTCCCAGCCTCATCCGAAACCGGCAGCTGCAAAGCACAGAGGTGGACTCTGGGAAGAAGCTGGTTTTCACCAACAACATCCCGAAGTCAGGCTTCCTCATCAACCCCCTGGATCCCATCCCCAGACGCTGGCGCCGGGTGAGTCTTTGTGGTGGAGCCTCCGACAGGTCAGATCCAGCCCAAGTGACGTAGCAGAGTCTCTGCACAGCCTCCACCCTGCCAAGGGCCACTTCCCAGCCCCTGGGACGTGGACACATCCTTTCTTACTTGTGCCACTGCAGAGCCAGGCCACTGGGCAGCTCACGGGCATCTTGGAAGGTCCCGTAGATTGTGCTGGTCCTCACCTGGGCAGCTCTAGCCAACCCTGCTGGAGGACAGTCGTGGAAAACTTCCTACTGGCCCCAGACTGCAAACCTGGATCTCCCAAGAAGACGTGTTTTTGTGATATGGCTATATTTTGTGAAAACTGCATGGTATCATTCCTCACTTTCCCTAGCTGCCTTTAAAAAGCTAAGCCAGGCTGAAAAGAATACTATCACTTGTTCAAAAAAAAAAAAAAAAAAAAAAAAAGAAAAAAAAAAATCATCAAGCTGGGCATAATGGCACCCGCCTACCTAGCTATTTAGGAGGCTGAAGCAGAAGGATTTCTTGCAGGCAGAATTTCAAGGCTAGTCTGGACAACAGAGTGAGACCCTGTATCAAAAAAAAAAAGCAACAAAGTTACTTATCCTCCACTTGCTCATTCCCTGTGCTTTGAAGGCTGGCTTGCATCCAGATACCTGTGCCAGGGTTGCTACCTTCCCAGGACAGGGCTTGCAGGCGGGTCTCTGTGAGTGACGTGCTGACCTCCGAGAGCTTTTCAGACCCAGCGCAGCTGCTTACCTGCCGGCTCTGCACTGCTCGCTGTGTCCCAGGGACACCCTGGCTGCTGCCTGGGATGCACAGCTTGAGGAGCGCTGAAGCGCACTCTGGGCTGGTGGCTTGTGGAAAGCGCAGAGCTTGGCAGAAGGCCCGCTGCTCCGGGAGCTTGTGGTAGAGCTGGGTCACTAGTTGTGACCCAGTTCTCGGGCAGGAAAGCCCTTCTAGGGGTGATGAAGTGTCAGCTGAGCCCACAGGGATCTGTGGGAGTGGAGGAGAGGAGGGAGCGCGGTGCGGTCCAGGCGAGGGATGATGTGGCAGGACCTGGAGGGAGAAGCCCAGGGCCCGAGACCCATGCAGGTTCCAGCGTAGGGGACAGGGAAGCCACTTGACATCTGGAGGCCAGTAGGGCCCACGCCTGGGGGTGGAGAGAGCCTGGCACAAGGGTGGTCACAGGGGACTGTCCTGGACAGGAGGGTGGTGATATCCATGGGGACCAGGCAGGTGACAAGGATGCTCTTGGCCCCTAATGTGGCGGTGGTCTCTTCCTCATCCCAGCCTTTGCCATACCCTTGGGAATCCTGCCCTCTTCCTCCCCTTTGGCTTGGTGGCCTCCCCAGGGCCAACTGTCCTTGCTTGCCTCTGTCACTTTGTCACTTTGTCACATGTTTCCTGCAGGCAAATCTGCTTGAGGAAGATGAAGGCAGCCGTGAAGATTTCTCCCAGCTCCTGAGCAACTTCGAGCAGTGGCTGCAGGAGGAAAAATCCAAGCTGGTTAGAATTATTGCAATGAGAGCCACGTCAGCCCAGGACGTGAGGGCCAGAGAGGCAAAGCTACAGGTCTGTCCCCTGGAGTTGGCGCCGATCTTTCAGACATGCTGGCCCCAGCGAGTTCTTTGGTGGTGTTTTCTTTTGCTTTGTTTTGTTTTGTTTTGTTTTGTTTGTTTGGTGGTACTGCGGGTTGAACCCAGGGCCTTCACATTGAGCTACACCCAGCCCTTTTTCATTTTTAATTTGGAGATAGGGCTTTGTTTGCTTAGTCGCCCTAGGCTGGCCTCAGCCTCAAGAGCCTCAGGCCTCAGCCTCCCGGAGCACTGTGCTGTCAGGCATGCGCCAGCGTACCCAGCTTCTCCAGAATTTCTCACGCAGGGAACCACGATACACATGAGCGCTTGAGAGCCTTTTCTTCCTCGTGTGTAAATAGTGACTTTTTAAATGTTTTTACATTCAGATATTTTGGAACTTTTCCTTACGTCTGTTCATCTATTCGGTCAACCTCCTTCTATAGCTCCTACTCAGAAAACATCGCCACTAATCCTTTGACTCCTGTGTATCAGTTAGCTGTTGCTGTGTAACAAATTAGCCCAGAGCTTGTGACTTAAAGGCACAGCTATTTATTTAACCTGTGACTCTAACTTTTGGCAGTTTTGGCTGAGTTCACCCTGGCTTCTGCCCTTTCAAGGGGCCAAGACACATTGCTGGGCTCCTCATTCGGAGCAGTGAGGGACCCAGCAGAGGCAGGCAAGGCCTTTGTAGGCCCAAACTTGAACCAGGTTGTTACCTGCCCTGGCATTCCTGGGTAAAATCACAAGGCCAGTCCAGACTCAAGAAGAAGGAAAAGCAGGCTCCACCACTTGGCGAGAGGGACACCAAGGTGGTCACCAAGGGCAAGGTTATGTCCAGGGGTGGGGTGAGAGTGGGGGATCCAGGGTCACTTCTGTTCATGGCCTGCCACATCTCCTTCTTCTCTCCTACGCGTGGTTACCCAGAGTCCATTTGTGCAGCTGCAGGAGACTGGGTAACTTCTAATGAGCTGCGATTTCTTGGCTCGTAGTTGTGCTGGCTGAGAAGTCCCAGGTCAGGGCGCCAGGCCCTGCTGTACCTCACGTGGCCCTGTCACCCCTCGAGGGTCTCCTTCACCCTGCTGCATCTGCAGTTAAGTTTCCACCTGACTTTGGGAGGGAATGGCAGGCAGTTGCCGCCCCCTCGCCGCCTTGATCCCACCCACCTCCTGGACACTTTTCCTTTCTGCCCCTCTCCCTGCCCATCTTCACCGCGGCGCAGGCTCTGTTTCTCCTCCCTTCTCCCTGTTGGGCCACTACCTGGGTCCCAGCTTGCTCTACAGCCACCTGTGGTTCATCCACAGCCACAAATGCGCCCTTGCCCTCCCAGTGGAAGCACTTCAGCATCGAGCTCAAACTCAAAGCTTATCGTGTAAGACCTTTAGCAAGCAGGCCCCGGCCTACCTTTCCTTTTCCTTATTTTTATGAAATTCACTATGGTACCCTAGGGTCTGGATTTCTTTCTGTTTATTGTACTTGAGATTCATTTGAATTTCAGAATCCATGGTCTAGGTTCTCTCTGGAAAATTCTCTGACATTATACCTTAAATTGTGCCTCTTCCTTGTTACCTTTTATTTTTCTCTGATGTCATTTAAACTGATATTATTATTCTTTGTCACTGTGAGTTTATGACTCTGCCTCTCTCGTGTGGCTTTGAAGCGATTGTCACTTTGCGTTGTATTCTGAGTGTCTTTTCCTGATCCATCTTCTCGCTTACTAATTCTCTCTTTGGCTGCATCTCACTTGCTATTACACGTGTCTATCGTGTTCTTAGCGTTTGTCATTGTAAGGATGAGATCTGGAATATCTATTTGGCTGGCAATTTTGGGGGTCACTTTTCTTGCTTCCAGACCCTTGCTGAAATGTTTAAGCTTGTCTTCAGTTCACCGAACCCAGCGAATACAGCTGCTTCGTAATTCCGGGTCTCAAGGCGTTTTCAGAAGGTTTCTGTTGGGTGTGGTGTTTGCTTCCTCTTGTTCTTGGTGTCGTGTCTGTACAAAGCTGCTTTGATTGTGTGCTGGACATTGTGCTTGACAAAATATGTGTAACAGCAGTCAAGGATTTAGGATAATCTCTTTTTTCCACAAGGGGTTTTGTTGGCTACTTGCAAGAGACAGGGGCTTTATTAGGATGAGACCACAGAATCCGAGAGCAAGGCTTATAGCTCCCTGGACCTCTGAGATGACCTAGAGCCACGCTGCAGGCCCACGCAAGCCCAGGTTTACTTCTGGCTCACCTTACTCTGAGGGTGAGGCTCTCGGGGTCTCCGCTAAGGGAGGACGGGCTTGTCAGAACCCAGGCCATCCTGCATACCCCACTGTGAGTCTGCCAGAAGCACAGGTCTGCTCCATAGTTGTTTCTTCTAGATTGTTCTAGAGGTAGAAGCAGCTGGGACCCAGAGTTTCCTCCTCAGAATCCCCATCCTTTCCCAGGTTCTTGCTGCTGTTATTTGGGTTTGGTGTTGGGGTGTTGGGGATGGAACCCAGGGCCTGAGCATGCAAGGCAAGCACTCCAGCCCTGAGCTGCACCCTCACTCTCCCTTTCCCGCCTTTCAGCCTGACAAGCCTTACTCTTCCATCAACCTTTCAGGGCTCTGAAATGTTTTCAGTAATTCATCTTCGGGTGATCTGGCCCATATATCTGTGTGGCTTGTCACCAGGAAGCCCCTCCCAGCCACCCCTGCTGTCCCAGATTTGGCGCTTACCCCTCTGCACACCTCCACCTGCGTCTGGCTGGGTCAGAATGACTTGAAGCTTCTTCAGTCAGCCCCTTTGGTCTTGCCCAGCTTGTGTCCTAGCTGGCGTTGAGGAGCTAGGCAGAGTTCTCTGCTGCACAGCTGTGGGTTGGGACAGCCAGGGTGCAAAGATGGGGCTTCTGTCCAGTGGCTGCAGGTAGTGCCCTCATCTGCCCCCTCACGCGACCTCTGGGGGTTCCGAATAAGGTGAACACAGTACTCTGCTTTCACACAGCATCTGCCTCATCCAACAGCACTTGGCCCGGGGCTCAGCAATACCAGCAGAAAGGCGCATTCTCCTGTGATCACCTTTATGATAGTGGCAATCCTCAGGGCCAGCCCCTGGGAGGACACAGCCCTGGGTGTCAGAATTGAAAGCGGGCAGTGTCCACAGAAGCCTCTCTGTCACTCTGCAGAGCAGCCGCCAGCTAGCTGTGGCTTCAGTCTGTACAGATGAGGGCCCCATGGTTCTGTCTGTGACCCCTGTGCCACACTACCAAGTGGCAATTGATTGACATCCTACTAGCCAACTCAGGCGGTCTGGACCACCTGGGCTGCACTGACACTGCCCTCCCTGCAGGAGCTGCAGGCGCGAGTCCCAGAGGGCCAGCATCTCTTTGAGACTCTTCTTCATCTCAGGCCCTCGAGGGCGGCCTCTGAGGAGCTGGAAGACCTGCGCTACCGCTGGATGCTGTACAAGTCCAAGCTCAAGGATGCTGGCCACCTGCTGGTGGGTGCTGAGCCCCAGGAAGGGCTCGGGTTTGGCCCCACTCACAGCAGGGAGACAGCTTGACCTGCAGTGCTCGGTCCTGGGCACCTCCGTCCTAGGCTGAGGTGGCCACTCCTCGGGGAGAGGCGCGGGTCCTCCTTCCTCCTCACCAGGCCAGAGTTCCAGCGACACACACAGGAACCTCACAGTTGGCTCGCAAGGCGTGCTTGCTCCTCTGGGGCAGCTGTGTCCCTGTCCCCAGAGAGCGCCCTCAAGCAGCCAAAGTGCCTGCCCAACATCACACTGCCGGGCAGCAGCAGAGCTGGCATCAAGCCCACCACTGTACTGTGTGTGTGGAGCCCTGGGGTCCAGCCGCACCTCTGTGCTGACCTCTGCACAACTTTGAGCACAACACTCCTCTCTTGGGTGCTGTGCTTGGTACAGAAAATAGTACCAACAGCCTCCCTAGTAATAATAGCCCCTGCGAAGTGCTGTATCCCTGTGACAACGCTACAAAGGAGATACCAAGATACCTGTTAGTCACCTGAACCAGTGAGGACAGGGAGGTGCGGAGCTTAAGCAACCCCAGTGCAAGGGGACAGACCCCAGACGCCAGCCCAGCTCCAGCTTGGCAGGCACTTTGGGCCCCGAAGCAGCTGTGCCGGCCACTAGGGGTCAGCACAGCCCTACCCAGTGGGCCGCAGGGCCCCGCCAGGCCTTTCTGGCAGACCAACTCCCAGGGGCCCAGAGTGTGTTAAAAAGCTTGTTAAACTCGAGCCCTGCTGGCTCAGGCTGTCCAGATGACCAGAAATTTTAGAGAAACACTCCCTTGACAAAATGAATTTCCATTACCGGCTCTGCTGGGATTTACGTTTCGCTCACCTCACTTATTTTTCCCCCTTTTTCCTCTCCTGCAGTTGCCGAGTTCTCCAGGGGAGCAGAGTAGATTCCAGAAGGTAAGAGTTGTCATCTGCCTGAACCACTGGAGGGCCTCCAGCCTGAAAGCTGGTGGCGGGTACTGGCTTTTCCAGAAGTTTCCGTGGGGAGGCATTTGTGGGCAGTCAGAAGCGTAGGTTTGAAGGGGTAACTGGCAGAGGTGGGCAGAATACACAGCCATGACGGCGACATGATGGAGAAGTGACACTTTGCCCTGAGCACTTGGGAACAGATGCTGGGGAAAGACAAGGGAGCTGCTAATGAGTGCTGTGACAACAGGAACAAAGCAGGTCTTCCCAGGGACTAGGTGGTTCCAGGTGACCGTATGAGCACTCAGTGACAGAGGCTGTGCAGGGCTCTGGTGGCCCCTGGGGAAGGATGGCAGAGGCCTTTGGTGCTGTTGGCCGATGTTCCCACCTTGTACTCTGTGACTGTTCAGAGCCACCCTATGGGGTGTGCAGCTGGGGCAGTGGCAGCGTGCGCCGAGATGACAGGAATAAGTAACATCGTCACTGTTCTGGGCAGGCTCTGCTGGCCTTGCACCATGTGAGCCCAGACTGCTCCATCCCAGGAAGGTAAAGGCCTCCTGCAGACCCTCGAAGGGCATCCAGGTTTCTGCGTTAGGCCCAGGACACAGGCGGCAAGTTGAGCTGACTTACCACTCCTGTCCTCAGACCCCAACGCCCTTGTTGTAACCTTCTACATCATGTCTTGGAGGGAGTCATGGGGGCTGCAGGGACTCCTCGCTTTGGGAAAAGGCAGGTGCACATCGCTGGCACCACTGCTGCCATTCTGAGGGAACACTCTTGTCCTGTCACACACTGGCCCAGGGCAACACAGGCCCAGTGTCTGCTGGTCCAGAGACTGTGCGCTCTATGATGTGTACACCAGTGGGCCTGCTGGTGCCCTCTAGTGTCCTGTGTGGAATCTGCAGGAAGCCCAAGGGCCATCCCCAGATTGGGGATGTACTCCAGACCCTAGCTTTGTGGCTTTGAGCAAGCTGCTTGTTGAAATGGAACTTTATCTTGGCTGACTTTGTTTATTCCAGGAATTAATTTTGAAGCTCACATATACTATAATGTATGGACAGAGGGGTTTCCTATAGCCTACGCCCTGGTTCTCTCTCAGGTGTAACAAGCCGGTCCTGGATTAGGGAAGAAGATGTGAAAAGTCAGGTGGCCCACAGACTGGTGGCTCCTGCTGGGAAATGGGGGGCCCAGGGCCAGGTGTCCGGGCTGCCTCCAGCTCCAGCACATCCAGCCCTCCCTGGGCGCAAATCCCCACCTATGCAGCCCCAGGCCAGGGCCCGTGTGGGAGCCATAGCTGGGTCCCCTCCCTGGGGCCTTGCACAAAGAAGTACTTACTAATGTGGGAATGGGCTCAAGTTCCCTGCAGCCTATAGCAAACGAGTTGGTGTGGTGTGCTCATTGGCACTTCCTCTCATTCATTCATCGATGCATCCATTCATTCATTCTGCCAATGGGCACTGGGTGCTGCCTTGGTGCTACACTCTGTTCTAGACACTTGGGTCACATCCTGAGCAGGAGAGCAGCAGCTTATGCCCCTAGATGGCCCACCTGGCCAGGTAGAGAGGGCGATCACCAGGGGCCTCTTGCACCCAGCAACACAGTGAGAGGCTCTGCTCTCTGAGCTTGGGGAAAGTGACCACGGCCAGGGGCTTCATAACCCTGAGCTTCAGCTCATCCATCACCAGCAGTGTTGGGCATGGTTCTGTGCATGTACAGTCCAGAGGCTCCGGGTGGCCGTGCTCTCTGCTTTAGGCTACATTTAGAGCAAGTGGGCTGTACAGTTTGGGATGGCTGGCTTTGAGCTAAGAGACCCCAGCCTGCTGTGCAGAAGGGAGCAACACAAAAGCCTTGGTGTAGGCAGCTTGTGAAAAGCAGACTGCTGCCCCATGCCTACTAGTTCAGATCCACGAGGTCTGAAGAATCTGCCCGAGAATCTGCCTTTCTGATGAGTTCCAGCAGGAGGCTGAGGGCCACATTCTGAGAACTGCTGCTTTCTGGATTCTGGGTTCAGTTTCAGCCTGAAGCCTTTGGCAAGTCACTTCACCACGGCCTTCTGATGCACAGAATGAGTCCCTGAGCTAACAGGCGGCAGAGTTCCTGTTACAATGCACGACACACAGTAGGTGCTCAGCCCCTGTGTAAAGGAGGACTGAGACCTCTGCACCCACTGCCCCTTCTTTTCTGAGAGCAGAGGAGCGGTGGCACTTTTCAGGGTGAAATCCTGCCTTGGTTTGCTCCTTGTTATCTTTTGCTGCTTTGCCTGTGTTCATCAGCTTTCTGTCACTGTCACAAAGCAGCTGAGCTCATCAGCTTCTAAAGAGGAGAGGTTTGTTTGGAATCAGGGCTGTGGCAGTACTGGTCTGTGACTCATTGGGCCTGTTCTCACTTCCTCATGACATATGGGCTTTGGGGGTCGCTTTGGGCCCAAACTGTCCCAGTCCTCAGGTTACTTTTTGCTAGTTCCAGTGTGCGTGTGCGCGTATGTGACTACACTTGTGCACATGTGTACATTGCACACTCAGGCCTGCTGACATGTAGAAAGTAAAGTGCTATCTGCAGAGGCTGCAGTCTTGCCAACTTCAAGACATTCCATTCGTTATTTTTAGTGCAGAGGAAAGAAAAAAACCGGCCCCACGCCGATTATTTATGAGCCGTGGCTCCTCTGTAGTTTTTTTTCTCTCCGAGCCCCAACTCATTGACAGCTCGGCTACGTCACTGGCTTCAGCCTGCTTGTTTGTATAAACAGGATCATTAAGATTTATTAAATTTGCAGCTGCCCACGTGCTCACAGGCGCGTGCCACCCAGTGTTTGCCCAGCACCCCCACACACAAGACGCTGTTGCTTTCCAAGATGCAGTCAGGCTGGGGGTTAACTAAAGCCCCGCCCTTCCCTAGGCACATGTTGACTCAAGGGGCATCAGCTGATGCTGCCAGCCCCCAGGCGCCTCAAAGCAGTTGCCAGTGCAGACAGCAGCCACCTCCCATAGCGCGCGTGAGCAGGCAGACCTCGAGCGTGGCTGCCGCGCATGCGCTCTGTGCCTGACCACTTTCTAAGCTTCTAAGGCCCCCACTCTCACAGCCTCCCTTCTGTGGCATTTGGGCTGCTTGTTACAATTGAGTTTTTCCAGGGAATGTTTAAAGTCGCTTCCTCCCGTCTCCTCTGAGGTGTCGCTGGTTGCAGGCTGTGTTCTGTTTGCTTGTTGGACTACTTGGATGGTGTGAACTTAGACTCCAGTCTAGGGGCTCCAGCCAGTGGTTCAGGTTCTCAGCGAAGGCCTGGCTGCGGCCCAGGATGGGGCAGGAGATCATCCACTGGCTCCACCTCCCCTTTCTGGGAAGCCGCTCCTCCTTCCCCTTTGTTGGTCGTGCACCCCGAGGCTGTGTCCGCTTTCTCTACTTTGTTTTCAATCTTGATGAGGTTGTGATTCTCTTAGGTGGGAGAAAAATGATGGCATTCTTACAGTGGTGCCTTAGATGGGAAGGAGTACCCTGACATAGAAGCTCAGAAAGCGCTAACCAGCTTCCAGGAAGAAGATAACTTGGCTTTGCAACTATGATTCTTTTTTAAGCTATGATTTTTTTTAGGAATCCCTAGTATATGCCAGGCACCATAGGGACACTCATGTGCCTGTTTTCATGTTCTGTTTTGTTTTGTTTCTGTAGTAGACAGGGTTGGACCCTATAGAAGCTCTATACTGAGCCTCATCCCAGCCCTTTTATTTTGTATTTTGAGATTGGATCTTAGCTAAGTTGCCCAAGCTGGCCTCGAACTTGCAAACCTCCTGCCTCAGCCTCAGATATGTAATCCGTCATCTGGGATTATAGGCATGTGCCACCTTGCCTAGCTCGGAGCCCGGGCATTAACACCATGGCCATCTTCTTCGGGGGAGGAAGTGGCCTGTGGCTTCTCTGACATGTGGCATCATGATCTGGGTCCAGGATGGGTGGGGACAGAGGCAGTAGAGTTGGACCTGATACCCCAGGATTCACCAAGCAACCTGGGTCTTCCCTGGTCACAGCCGGAGCCCCAGGCTTTCCCGGGCCCTGCTGGCTCTGACCCCCAAGTGAGCAGAGTCCCAGGCAGCCTCAACCCTGTGCTGTTCATTCCAGGCCCCTGTTGACAGCTTGATGGCAATTTCTGTCAGGTGACAGCATTATGCTCTATCTTGATCTTCCTCACTCGCTGGATCTGACACCTTGCCACTTCTGGCTCTCCCCAGAGTGATAGCATTGGAAGGCGACAGTGCTGTCCTCTCTGAGGAGCTGGGGGCTGATGGCACCCGATCCCTGCAGCCTTCATGGAGTGGGAGCTTGTGGGCCTTGTTGGAGCTGCCCGTCTGCCTGGCTGAGGTTGTTAGTCTTTGTGGTTTCTTAGAAGACAGCTCAGGTGTCCTGGGCACTTGAGAAGCATATTGAAATGTCTTTTATTTTAAAGGTCATTCAACGTTTCTATTTTAAGGAGCACTTCAGATCTCAGGGCCCTGAAGTGAGGAGGAGAGCACTCAGGAGCAGTGGCTGGCGGGCAGCAGTGCTGCCCTTTGCCAACACTTGTGAACGCAAACACACTTTAGAGCCTCGGAGGTGTTTTCCTAGAGGATTGCGACCAACAGCCGCTAACCTGAGTAGGTCAAGTGTCTGCTCCCAGAAGAGAAGAGTAGACAGGAAAAAGCAGGCAAAAGCAGCCCCCCCCCACTTGGGACAGTGGTAGTGACAGGGCTTTGTGGTGGCAGAACCCAGGGTGGGGCGGGCACGCAGCCCATTGCCTAGTCCGCTTTCCCTCTTCTAGCATGAGCCAGAGCTTTGATGTCAGGCGAAGTGGTCACAAAATGCACTGAGTCAAGTTAGGGCCTCCCCGGGCAGTGGCAGCCCCACACCAGCCGGGCCAGTGCCTCCCGGTCAGCAGCAGGGACCCAGCCACCTCCCCCAGGAGCTCAGGCTCTTGCTTAAACAGTGTGTCACCCCCTCCTGCACCTGAAGTCACTGCTGGATAAATACAGCCGAGAGCGCTTGCTCATTGCGTGGGCCAGCGCGTTCCCACAGTCAGTGTCTGAAGACTTGGCCGAGTGAGAACCCTGGAGGCTGGCAGCAGAGCATTGGGTGAGGCGGTCTGGAGGGGGAGCTGGGGCAGGAAGGTGAGCAAGGTAGCTTAGATGAGAGAGGGAGTCCAGAGCCCACTCAGTGCTTCCCAGGTGACTGCCTGTACCATGGCTCCTTCCTCACCATCCTCGGGGTCACCGCCACCACTGCCTCACCACAGACATGACCTCTGCCATCACTGTCACCACCATCATCACCACCACAGCTACCATCGACACCACCCTCACCACGATTGTCACCATCGTCCCTAAGAGCCCACCTGCACGAACATGCCCATCATCCTCACCATAAATATCATCGCCACAATGATAACCACCATCACCTCAGTCATTGCCACAGTCACCACCACCCACACCACGGCCGTCATCCTACCATTAGCATCCTCACCACCGTCACCACCACCCCCCACACCATGGCCGTCATCACCATCACTGTCATCATCACCATCGCCATGGTCACCATCTCCAAGACCATCACAGTCACTACCATCACCACGGTCAGCCCCATCCACTCCATTATCACCATGGCCATCCCCACCCCCAGCGTCACCAAGACTCATCGGCATCACCATCACCACCACGACCACCACAGTTATCTCCATCCAGCCCCACTGCCACCATCCCAAGTATCCGTGATGCTTGCCGTCACTGCCCCCGTCCCTGACGTGGTGTTTGTTGAGCCTTTGGTCTACAGGAGCCAGCAGATATGTTCTAGTAACAGCACTGGGCTGTTTTCATTGGAGCGCTAGTAGCACACATGCTCAAAGTACTAGCACCATGACTAACAGCACCAAGGGTAGGACTCGGCACCCTTCTGATTGCGGCATAAACACACTTTGATTTGGGTCCTCGTCACCCAGCTATTATATGACAGGGTCTAGATTGGAGCCTGCCTTGCAGGTGACCAGGAGCCGAACTCCACGCCATGCCACACCCTGGCTACAAGAGCCTCTGCTTTCCTTGGCAGTGGGAACATGCAGGGCAGCCATACCCAGCCAGTTCCTGCAGGACTTGGGGGACAGCTGCGGGCACACATGGTAGGGCATGCAGCAGAGACATTTCCAGGTACTGGGGCCTGTGAGACTGACCTTAGGGTGACCATGATGGTGAGGATAACAAAGTGATGTGACGATGACCAGGTAGGAAAGGAGAAAGGGGATGAGGAGGTTGGGGAGGAGTTGATGGTGGTGGGGTGTACAGCGGTGGCTGGGGATGGTGATGGTTTAGGTGGGAGTGATGCCAAGATGCACACTGGCAAGGACAGCTGCATGGGCGCCCACACGTGCTGGGCACTCTGTCACATTTTGCTGGAGCAGCAGCTCTGTAAGAAGGCTGCCATTGTTACCCCTCTTCTAGAAGACAAATGTGAGGTTTAAAGATGTTGACTAACTTCGAGAGCCATGGTAAGTAGCCTCCTGCCGGTGCTCGATGGGGTCATGTCTTTACCAATTAAAAATGTCCTATGAGCAAAATGCACCCGTCACACGCACTGTCCCCCAGGGCCCACTGCAGCACGGCTGCTCCAGCTCTGTCTCTCCAGGCCCACCTGGAGCTGCGGCTCACTGCCATCACCCCGCCACTGGAGATGCCTGCAGCCCGTGCACAGAAGGAAACTCAAAGCGTAGCTTCTCCTGAGTGTCTTTGGCTTTCACACTACTGTGAAATGAAAAATCACTGTACAGGACCATCGTGGGCTGGGGACTGTGTCTACACCAGGAGAGGAGTTATGAATCTGCTGGGTGCAACCTGTGATTTTATTTCTTTCTGCTCCTTGAACGGTTGGCAGAAAACAGCAGAGATCGTCATTTCTGACAAACCTCACAGCAGCCCCTTGTCGCAGATGAGCGCTCGGAGTCGCTCACGGCTGTGTCTGTCCCGCAGGTGCGGTGGTGGCGTGGCCCGTGCTCTCTGCTCCGGAAGGCGTGCTGTGCGGTGCTCTGGTTGCCCCTGCTACTCCTGCTCTTCCTGCTGCTGCTCTTCCTGCTGCCGGCCGGGGAGGAGGCCCACGGCTGCACGCGGGCCAACAACTTCGCGCGGTCCTTCACGCTCATGCTGCACTACAACGGCCCCCCGCCCACCTAGCCCGCCGCGGGCACACGGCTGACCTTCTCTTCCAACCTCTGCAGTCCCGGGGCTGCTCCGAAGGCTCCAGCTGGAGAAACTGGAGACGGTGGACCAGAGACTGCAGCCTGCTTGGCGTAGATACTGCAGCCAGGACCCCGGGACAACCTTCCTTTTTATACAACGTTCTCTTTGTCTATTTATACCATGGGCAGCTAGGGGAACATGTACAGAATTTTTATATGCTCGCTATGTAAAGGCTTAGTCCATATAATTTTATATATGATGCCTATTTGTAGCTAGGGACATCCCTAGCAGCTTCTCCTGTGGGATTTTGTGACCTTTGTGGCCTTGGTCTGTGGTCAGTTCTGCAAAGCAGGAACACTTTGTGTCACTTTGGTGGCCGCCCCTTACCAGGAAGCCAACGCCCAACCCAGATGGTGAGGAGCCCAACAGCTGCTGGAGCAGAGCTCGGAGCGTCTCACTACACACAGTGAGATGGTTTTTAAACCACAAAGATTTAGTGTATGGACTGGAAGGAGAAATAGGAATGAGCAGAGGCAGGTAGGCGACAGGGAGACAACGACACCAAGCAGGAGCTCCACATCTTCTGATAGCGCAGGCCAGCGCGGGTGTCCCATTGATACGGGGCCTTCAGTAGCGGTTAGGAGTGGCTGCTCCGGGAGGAAGGGGAAGGCGGTCGGCTTGGTTTCTCATTTCCAAGCACAAGGGGCAGACTTGGGGGCCCCTGAGAGTCCAGGGAGCCAGGTCACCTGTGTGAACAGCACTAAGCTCACAACCTGGGCTGAGGGGGAGGGGAAGCACCTGTGTGGGCCAAGAAGGTTCCCACCTGCACCCCTGCAGGGCTGAGGCCAGGCCATCTCATCAGGCTGCCAGGTCTGGACAAGGCGGGGCGGGGGGGGGGTGACTCCATGCTGGGCTGGAAAGCTGGAAACTTGGTTTCCCCTTGCAGGGAACGCTGGATTGTTCCTAAGGGCTTTAAAACTGGATCAGAGCTAGGCATGGCGACACAAACCTATAATCCCAGCACCCAGGAGGCTGAGGCAGGAGGATTGCAAAGTTGGAGCCCAAGAGGCAATTTAGCAACTTAGTGAGACCTTTGCTCAAAATAAAAATTGAGAAGAGCTGGAAGAATAGCTCAGTGCAGAAGCCAGGGTCCAGCCCCTGGATCGGATTCTCCCCAAGCCCATGCTTGACGTTCTTCTAGAAAATACTTACTCCCCGCTTTGTAGATGGATTCATCTGCTCAGCTGTCCAAGGCACCTGGAGGAATTTATTTCCTCAGACCTTATATTGGGTTTGGAACCAGAAAATTTTACAGCTGCCAACAAGCACTTTAAGTAGGGGAGAAACTGAGACACTGACGGTCCTTACCCCAGACCCGCTTTCTGAGGGACGAAGACCCCGTCCACCCCAGTGTCGGGCCCTGCCCTGTCCCGTTCCTCAGGAGATCTGGAAGAGCTGGGCCTCCCTTAGGACAGGAAGCTGGATCTTTAGAGACCCCTTTCCTCCCTGTCCGGCCAGGCAACCAGGGAACCTACATTAGCGAGCAGGTGGGCGGCCCAGCCCAGGCTCAGGGCCCCAGTGGGGGGGTGTCCCACTCTCCACTCTCCAGGCAAGAAAGCTGAGGCCCAGGAGAAGGAGTGCACCCAGAGCCGTACTAGGAGGGGGGCAAGGCCAGAGCTGAATCTGGGCAGCCAGCGAGGCAGGGCATTGCCCCCGTGTGCATCTACAAGGGGAGAAGCCAGGCCAGGCTGCAGCACAGGGCAGAGTACTTGCCCAGTGCACCTGAGGGCAAAGGTCCTGGGTTCAATTCCTGGGGATAAAAAAAGAAGGAAAGAATAAAGAAAAAGCCATGCACCAGTAGTGACACACATGCCACATGTCGGGAGGAACTACAGGATGTGTGTTGCTGAGTGGAAATGTCTCTGTATTTTTAAACTTTGATAATGATACCATAAAGTCTGTTTATTTGCATAACTAGTTTTTACAGAGAGAAATGATATTTTCATACATATGAAGTTGTAATATGACGCAACAGCACAGTTACAGGTGCTTTCCCAGTGTAACGTCTTGCTGCAAATGAAAGTGGATGTGGACCACTGGTGCCACTTGCCAGCCCTCGAGAGCTGGCATGGAACCTGGGTATGCGCTGCCCCTTGGTCCTTGAGAGGGAGGGCTCTTAGGGATGGAGAGAAGACAAGGGACCATTGACAGCCAGCCTGTGTGTGTGTGTGTGTGTGTGTGTGTGTGTGTGTGTGTGTGTGTAAGAGAGAGGAGACCCAAAAGAGAGAGAAAAGGGGACGGAGAGGGAGAGAGAAAGGGAAGGAGGAAGGGGGAAGGAGAGAGGGAGAGAAAAAGAGAGAAACAAGAGGGAGGGAGAGGGACACAGCTCGTGGGTGTGAGGACCAAAGCCATGTGACTTCTCTTCTGGCCCCAGATGCCTCATGGCATGTGGCACTCATTCATCTCGTTGTTTATCTGGCTCCAGGGGAGGAAGGAGAGGGGCATTCCCAGAGGCGCCACCCAGTCCGTGACTTCTGCTCTCACCCTGCCAGCCAAGGCTGGGTGACACAGATGTCCCACGGATCCGTCAGGTGCTTGGGACCATGTGTCCCAGTACAGGGGCTTTTAATAAGAACAAAGGGCAGGATGCTTGGTGTGGCACTGAAATGTCCCTGCCATGGGTGGAGAGGCACGTGCCACCCTGCCCTCCACACATAGATCTGAAGCGCTGTAGGACGCGGTGGCGTGGCAGCCTGGCCGTGTCCCTCTGCTGCGCTTGCTGCTACTCCTTTGCATTTGGACTCAGCCAGGAAGTTGGAGTGAGCTTTGGTTTCTTTGTGAGCACAAAGAGCCCCTGAGGGCAAATCCTGGGACGGGGAACCCTTTTCTTCCAGGACAACCCTGGTTCTCTAGCAGACCGAGAGGCCTGGCGAGGGGCAGTGAGTGGCCGCCTCACGGGGGACTCTGTTGCCCTATGGACAGAACCCCTCTGGCAGAGGCCCATAGCCAAAGACCCTAAGACCAGCCATCTGTGCTCCCTGGCATCAGTGTACCCAAGAAATGCCTTCCGCCTATTTACATTAGAACAAGGATGGCTTTGTTTTCAAAAACACATTGGTAAACAAAAGCTCATGGTCCAAAGCAAATCTCAGAGCAAGACAATGAGAGCCCTAAAGAGTGGTCTGCAGTACGCAGAATCCCCCAGCACTTGTCTGCTTCCTGGTTGTCATGGCAACATCCTATGGTACCCAGCCCTATACCCTGTGGAGAACCTCAGTTTCCCGGAAGGATCCTGGCTTCCTTTCTAGAGAGAGTAAGGGAGGAAAGCAGCAGTCAAAGCACACTCAAATGCTTACTCTGAGCTCAGCAACCAGGAACACCAGGCCGATCCATTCCTGATGCCGTGGGAGGAAGGACAAAGGCTGACAGCCCCTCTTCTTCCTCTGAGGAAAAGGGAGGGAGGACTTGTAGAAGTTGTAGCCTCCTAGCAGTGACCTTATAGAGAAGGTAAGAAGCCAGCAGCTCGAAGATGGGCCCACGCTAGACAGGAGAGCTCAGCCGCCGCACGGCACTCCCCAGCATGGGACACGGGCCTCTGTACTCTGGCAGCAGACTGAGGAGTCTGAGGGGCCGCCCCAGAGCAGGGCTGCAGGGCCTCTCCCCACACCCCCCGTGGGCCAGGAGCTCCCTAACCCCGCTGCCCTTGGGGCTGGGCGGTGTGTGTCAGTCTCCCTCCAGAAACCCACACTGGGTACTGCTCCCAGGGACAGAGGGAGTTTTGTGAGGTCACTGCCTGCTCTGTACCCCAGCTCCTTCCTGGGGATAGCCAAGGGACAGTGGCTTTGCGTGTTGAGTCAGGAGTGAGTGGATGGCGAAGGCTGTGTGTGCTTGTGAGCGCTGTGTGCATGTATGTGTGCGCGCGCTCTTGACACATGTGCATGGAGTGGACACACACCCCCTGGCAGAAGCATGGCGGATCAGCCCTTGGCCCAGCGCTGGGCTTCGGGACAAGAGAGACCCCAGCCCGGGGGACCTCAGGGAGCCTGTCCTGGCCCAGCACCACTCCTAGATGTGTCCTCCTGTCACCCTAGCCATGTGAGGGGCTGCTGATGGGGACCCTGGCTCTCGGTCATCCGGAGACACCTGCGTATAAAGGAAGGCTGTGCTTTATGTGCTCCCCTCTAGAGTTTTCCCCCACTTCTGATACTGGGACAGTAGTGTCCTCTGCTTCCCTTTCAGGAGACAGCAGCAGGATCGGGAAGCCTGGTACCCTGGGTGCCCAAACAAGAGGCAGCAGCCCATCCCCCTACCTGCTTTGCCCCCAGCCAGGTCTACCTGAGCAAAGTCACCCCACCTCACCAGGTCACACTCACTCATGTGTTAGTGCCTGGCATGGTGTCACCCACACAGTATGACCAGGTGTGACAGGGGTGCGCATGTGTACAGCATGTTGCTCGAGTTGTCTTTGGTGTTCAAGCAAACTAATGCCACTGTTTAAAATGTTCTATTAGGCCGGAGAGATAGCTCAGCAGCCTAAGCACCTGCGTGGCAAACTCAAGGACCTGGGTTCGATACCCAGTACCACATTCCGTGCCAGTCATGTGTTATGCAGTGCCAGCCACCAAAACTGGGCGTGGTGGCACACACCTGTAATCCCAGCACTGGGGAGGCTGAGACAGGAGGATCACTACGAGTCTGAGCTGCATAGTGAGACCCTCTACCAAATATATGTTTAAAAAGTTCTGTTATAGAAACAGCATGCAGAGGGGTCCCATCTCCTTCTGAGCACATTTGTGGCTATAAGCAGGTATTTGTAGTTGTTTTCTGGGAAGGAAAGTACCAGTATCGCAGCAGAGTGACTGTCTGGGAACATGTATGTCGCCTCTGCTCACATCAGTCCAAAGCCAGCTGAGAGCCCCCACCTTCCTGGCTTCAAGGTAAGACTGCCTCAAGTCACCTTGTGCTGTATTTTAAAGTTCAAACTTCTGTCCTCTCTGGTTCAAGCTGGATATAGTAGTATTCCAAAAGATGGTTTGATGTTTTCTTTGCTGTTTTATGTGTGTCTTTTTTAAAAAATGCATTTATTTGATGTTTCGGAATAAAAGTCTCCATTTTGGTCTATGAAGTGGTGAGCAGTTTGGAGGTCCTCTTCTGTGGCAGTGGGGTTGCTGTCATCTCTCGAGAGCGTGGGATGATGGACCACTCCAGGGACCGGGTGATTTTTGTTCCAATCTCCTTTCCAGTCAGATGGCCCTTGTCCCTGCAGAGGCTAACCTCTGGTGATAGTAATGCTGGAGCCAAGGTGACTGGCACAGCTTGGGGGCACCCCAGGGACACCTCTTGGGATCCTTCTCCTCAGTCCCTGTCCCCTGGGCTGGGCCAAGTAGCTTTCAAGATTCCCAGATGCACACTGAGAGCAGAGGTAGGGCCAGAACTGACAACTGGAAACTCCAGACAAACAGGGCTTCCAGCCACTGCACGCCCAGGGATCAAGGTCCGGTGACATTTGTCTAACACATGGTCCTTGGGTTTGGGGATCTGATGCCCAGGGGTCTTGTATGATGCAGATTAGAAGACTGGTGGAGGCAGGAGAGATGGGGGCCTCATCTTCCTGTTCCCCAGGAGGTCCCAGAACCCAACAGGTGAGCCCAGGACTTGCTGTTAAGTGACAGAGATACCAACTGTGGCTCTAAAGGGTGACAGGGACCACCTAAGTCTTCTGCTTCCGGAAGCATGGCCCCTACACTGCCCCAAGAGCTCTTTCCAGGAGAAGGGTTTGACAGAGGTTTACCTCC